AATTGTACTGGGTAGCTGAGTAGTTTTAGTGCTCACCTGGCAAATCAAAAGGTTGTGGGTTTGGTCATGTTTAATTTATTTTAAATTTCATAACTTCAGTAGGATTTATTATTAATTGAAGACAGCAACGCAAGTATGTAATTTCAGTTAAGAGTGACGAGCTTTTGTTACTAAATAGGATCAGCTGTTTCTTTTACCAGCACCATTAACTATAAGCCAAATGAACAAGCACAGCTGTGTCCAGTTTTATGCCCATTAAAAAGCTACTGACTTCTTATGGATTGAGCTGGTGAACTTATTCTTATTTTTGGGCATGCACTATAAAAACACAGCTACCCAGGTGGCATTAAAACATGAGATGTTTAGTCTACTGATATCCATAAACAAAGACTACAATTTCTAAGCTTTTTTAATCTGGGTAGCTGAGTGGATATCTAGTGTACGCCTTGTCATCAGAAGGTTAACGGTTTGATCCTGAGGAACTATTTTTTTACATTTTGAAAGTGGACGTAGCTATTCTTGATCATTGGTCATGAATAATATACAGATAATCTTAGTCAGTTACAAAGCTATAATCTTATTCAGTTATTCATTCAACACACTCATTGTTCTCTTATCTTGGCCATTTAATTTCCACTCTGGTGCATCTGTGCCATAAAAATCTCTAATCTCAAACCTCCCTAATCAATCTCTAAGGAAATAAAACAGGGTTTAACAATAATTTCTCCTGGTGAAATCCTTAATGTTGATTTTCTATTTTTAGGGTGAGGAGGAAGGATTCTGGTTGTCATACGAGGAGCCCGAGACTGCAGCCTATAAGTCAGCCTACGCCAAAGCCAAGGGACTAGGAGGAGTTGTGCTTGTAGACCTGTCCCTGGATGATGCCAGAGGTGCCTGCGATGGTACAAAGTTCCCCATTCTGCGCAGCGCCAAATCAAACCTCTAACTGAACACTTTTTCTAATTGACAAATGTTTCCCAAATAGATTGTAGTTTTGTATGATGTTTTCTTTTATTAACCCTGAGTACCTTATGATATAAGTGTGTTGATTTTTATTTGTGATGACTATTGCTGGTATTATTTTACCATTTAAATTTTTTTGATGTTAATGGGCAAAAACATAACTCATATTGTAAATGTTTAAACATTCTCATCTGAAGTTAACTTTCAAAATAAAAAATAAGGTTTTTACAGTTTTACCAATGGTTTTACTTACTTAGTTTTTATTAGCAAATTTCCCCTATAGGGAATAAGCTATTACCCTAGTACTCATGGTAAGACCTGGACCCGGGACCGATTTACTTTTTCGTTTTGAGGTCCCTAGAGACCAAAAATACCATCCGTTCAATACATATATATATATAAGTCCGTTAGCGTGATAACTCGAGCAAAAATCATCCGATTTTGATGAAATTTGGTACAAACGTGTAAACCTACGTTTATTCAAACGAGTTCGCGAACCAGCATGATCGGACTATGGGAACAGGGGTTTATGGGGGGTTTTATGGGGTAAAAGTTGGTTTTTCCCATTTTTGACCCTCAAAACTTAAAATTTAACAATTTCTTTCCATACCATTTTGTAGAGCTTTAAAAAAATAACTTAGTATAATGAAGCGTTATTATGCGCCTAATAGTTACGGAGAAAATTCCAAAAATCTGTAAATTTAAAATTCCCATGTTATTCTTATGGAGAATAGGTCAATTGTTGTAGTTTGCTTGTTTATGAACATATTTTGATCAAATTTGGAAAATGCATTCATTTCATACTAAACTATTACATTTTACAAAAAAATACCTTTTTACCCTCCCTGTTGCAGCAAACCTAAGTGTACTCGTTAAAATAATGTCATTTAAATAGGGAATAAATGTGATATTTTTAAGGAGACATTTTAGTATAAATCCAGTCAGACAAATAGAAATTCACTTAGTCTGCAGGTTTGCTGCAGTGGGGGTATCCTCTTTTATCATGGAATAAACAATCAATTAAGGATCACTATAACACATCACTTATAACATGTTTATATTTCCATATTTCTCTCAAAATTACTGGATTTATGTAACAATTAATTGACAGCCTCCTATGTATATACAATTGCACCTGTTTTAACGTAGCACAATATCATGTCAACATTTTAGCAATCAATGTATCAAAAAACAAAAAACCATTAATTACATCTTGTCGGAACTGGAGTCGGATTGAAAGGTTTGTGCAAGATGCCATCAATTTCTCGAGGTCGTACCAACATGTTGGTGCGTGTAAACGGCTGCCCAGACAAGTTGTTGCACCTTTGGCACCCTATCACGGCCACATTTAACTCCCTATCTGCCTCAGTTTTGTCATATTCGCTATACGTAAAGTGCATATTTTTGAAAGTTATTATGTGTAGTGGGGATGTTTTTAGTGCCCCCAGAGGGGAGGTAATGGTCCGGTGTTGGAACCGGCACTTCAGGTGGGCCGCAGTCATGGACGACTGGACATGCCAGCCTCTTGGGGTTGTACCCAGAGTGAGAGTACCCAGTGATACTCCTCTATCCAGGATGGGGGGTGTTCAGCTTTGCGAGACCTTGGTTTCATCTGCCTGTGGCTGTGGTTCTTTGGGCTTTGTCCTGCCTGTTGTGTACGACTGACATTTTGCGAGGCATATTCTCGGCTCTGGAAGTAGCCTCTTCCTGGGAGGTGAAAAACGGGCAAGTGTTAAGCCCCTAGAGAGGAGGTAACTGCTGATTTTTTTATACTGAACCGTATTTTCTAAATAAACCAATTTTGGAATCTTATTTTTTACTCAAAGAAAAAATAGTTGATCGCATATTGTGCTAGTACCGGTATGGAAGATTTATTTGACATTTTTTATAACGATGGGTAATAAAGACATAAAAATATGGCATAGTTTATAATATAGTTGCCAACTTATCTTAAAGGGCAGACCTGAGTGAAAATTTTGAAAAAAAAAACGTTTTAATGTCCCTGGCCTTTTATTTTGTAGATACTGTGTAGTATTTTTTGGGACATGGGCAACATGTTACAAACATTTATTTTGGTTTTTACTAGGTTCTAGGTATTTTTTAGTATTTTTAAAGTCTCGAAATGCACGACCATCACGTGTCCCTAAGTTACATTTTTCAACTTTCACGCTTGGAATAATAATAGCCAAATAAAACGCGATTTCACGACTATGGAGTATCAAGACCATTACGGAGGTTTTCACAACCAAAATAGCCTTATCAACTAACTCTACTGTGTTGTGTTATGGTCGTAAAAATGAATTTAAATATCATTGTGAATTTGCACAGTTTAGTTTAGTTTAAACACACATTTTTAAAAGCAAGTACAATTAATTTAAGAATGTAAAAAATAGTCTTGTGGAGTATTAGGAGAACAAGAGTAGTGGAATGGAATTAAAACATAAATAAACAATATAGTGATTCTCGTTAATCACCAATTCCAGACTGTAACACTTGTCTCTGACTATGACGTTCATGATTTGGATCATAAAAATGTCAAAAATTGATATATCATCATTATTCTAATGTGTTATACATACAAGAAGGACGCCTCTTTAAAAAATTTTTAAAGGGTTTCCAAATATCGGGAACGTTTGTTCAGAGTTATACAAACTTAAAGAGATTATTGAGCTTTTTTCCATTTTTTATAGTTTATAGATTTTTTTTAGAAATATCAAATTTACCAAAGGCTTAGTGAGCTGTTTATTGCGAAATGGCCCTTAAACCTAATGCATTTACAAAAAAACATATTTATAAAAAATATTAACTCTAGCTGTTATATTCATTTTTACGTCCGTAATGGTCGTGAAAGAATTTCATGTTTTTCCGTTAAAGATTCTGTAAAATATTTATAAAAAACCGTTAAAAAAACCACCAAAATATTACGTGACCATAGACATTTGATGTAACTTCAAAATGTCAATGAAATAAAATAAAACTTTTCGAAAAAATGTTTTATAAAGTGCTTTTCTTGAAAACGTACGTTTTTACATTTTCACTCACCTATTGCCTATGAAGGTGGTTCATAAAAACATCAGGATGTGTGTGTCAGATTGTTGAAAACATAAGTTGACATTAAAAAACTGGCATCATTAAAAAGTTAGAGTAATGTTGTATGATTTTGTTACTTTTAACTAGACATTACCGTTGGGAACTTTTTAGACAGTATAGTTCAGAGTTCTGCCTGTTTTTTGTGTTTTTTTTTGCAGATCCGCAGCACCTTTTAGCTTACATCAGAATAATTATAGAAAGCGGGTCAATAATGTACACTGACTTTTTAAAAGAAAAACTCAGTTGACATTTTTAAAATATCCAACTTTTTTAGAGCGAATGATATTCGGATGCATGTTTTAAGGTGAGTAGAATATGCAGAGTGAAAATCGAGTGAGGTGATCTTTGTGTAGCTCTACTGTTACTGACCCCAGAATGGTAAGTACATATTAGGATGATCAAATTGATTAAAATTATAGAATCATAAAACGTTTTTGTGGAAATTCGGGCCCCCCCCAAAATGCTATCTGGCCCATTCTGCCCATACCTTCCAAATGGAAGATGGAAGTACTTGCTGGATTTGCCATCCTCAATGATGTCATTTGAATATCTTCCAAGGTTTAGAAACCAACATAAACGACTAAAATAAAATATAAATATTTATTTAGTCGATATATTAGCGCAATGTAAACGTTGCCCTAGGCTACATAAATTTACCATTAAAACTTTTTTAAATAGGAATTATATAGGATGATAAAGTGACGCGCACAGGCATGAGGCGTTTTAGACGGGCAAACTTCATGGTGAGCAAACCTCTCATCATATTTATTTGTGCATTTTAAAACCATATGTTTAGCATTGGCTACATCCTTTCATGGGTGTTGCATGGTTATAATCAATGGCCTTTGTCGTGATCTATCACATAATGTTCTGTCAGTTTTCTGTGATCTGCGAAAGATTAAAAAAAGCTAAGCACAGCAGACTGACGTTTTGGTGTTTGTTTAGTATTGTTTGTTAGTAACCTACTTGTCATATATCAAGTTTAGAATAAAATCACAAACTTTCTAATTGTATAGTCAAAGAATAGTTAAAATAATTTGGTTTTAACTTGATTGCAGTCAGAACTGAAACTCCTTGGAACTGTGATACTTTATTTATTAACTCATTTGTATTGACATTGGCCTAGGCTAACTTAACTAAGGAAGTTCCAACCAACATCTTGTGTCTATTTTCTAATTGTCTGATTTAAGTTTTGCGTTTTACTTAGTTTAATAAAACACGAAATGGTTAAACTTTATGCATTAAACGTTCTATTCAAGGGAGTCCATAATGCAGTATGGCTAAAATCATCTTATGACTTGTCAACATTTGGATTCTTTCAAAGAGGAAGTGTTCAAGAATTTATGGGATTTGTGAGCAAAACAATAGTCGAAAGGACTCAAACGGCAGCCAGACAGTCGGTAAAGGAAGGAGGTTAGTAATCTGTCATACGCTATTCCACGGTAGGTCTTAGCTTATGGGATGGCTGAAACATGTTCTCTTTAGTTTTATTAGACCTAGGCTATAGGCTATGTTGTATGTTATTGATAAAAAATTTCTGAACTTATATTCATCTAATCTTATGTAAGATAAACACAAAAACGTAAACCACACATCGACAAATACCTAGGACTGTACTACATTGACTGTCTATAAAAAAAATCATCGATAATAATGAATATTCCCTTTAACAGGAAAGTACCTTATCAACTTTACCAGAGAAAAATTATCAATTAAAAAAATAAAATCTACAAGTTAAATGTAGGCCTACTTTTGTTACTTCACAAGGACAGTAGTAACGCAGCTTGCACAGCAATAAGCCTGATGTTCCCAGTACATAATGTGAAAATGAATCAATATCAATTTTGTAGGCCTAACTTATGGCCTAATTGATATTGATGTGGACGCCACTAGGTGCGTGACACATTATAACCCAAATAGCACGACTATCTCCCATAAGACCTGTACTGCACGATTAACGTGGAATTGAGTTTAGAAAGGAACTTATCATTTAAAAATTGATCCTATAACTTAGGTACAAGTTAATTAGCCTAATTTAATTTGTAAAAGAGAAACCCTTACAAGAGGCCTGAAGCTAAATACCAGTTTCAATTAGGGTACGGTATGTATCTTCAGCTAGCCTACATTTCTGCATCAAAAGTTTATGCATCAAGATTTAACGAGTGGATAAGGTTATATTTTCAAACCAAATATTATGCGTAGGCTACACAACTGTTATAATAACTTGATAAGGGAAATCACCAAATAAAATATACTTAATAAATAGCACCAGAATAATCGGCTTGTGTTTTTTTTTTATGTTGCCTAATGCCTGCCTACTATGAACAAAGTGGGTCATGTGTGCTAGTTTATGAGCGTAACACAGTAACTTAGACCCTCCGAACCATACAAAGTTGGTTTAAGAAAATCTTGGCACAACTACCTTACACCCATGGCCATGTCTTCCCAATCGTGATTTCTGAAAAGTATGAAATTGTGTAAAAAGTGTTTATAAGTATTTGATGCACATAATCTGTAGTAAAAGAAAAATCTACCAAAATATCAACTGGAAAATAGATTTACCTAACCCAACCAAACTTTCTCTAATACTTGAATATCAAACAGCAACTTCATTTAAAATTCTTACACAATTTCATACTCCAGGAATCGCAAAAGCTACAAGCACTGTGTTCTCTTTTGTTTACAAACTACGAAACAAAAGGTTTTCTTTGTTCTTCATCAAGCAGCCTTCAGTGAACACATATTTCCATATATCTAATGCAAGCAATTTGACAATCATGCACTCTGTGCTTAAAGTTCAGTTGACAAGAAACGCAATTATGTCCGAATAACGCATACATGTACACAATAATTGTATTAAAAGACACAATTATTGCAGTCGTGATGTAAGTAGGCCTACTAAGTTACGTTTGCCATTTCAACTCCCAAACTGAAAACTAACAAGGAGGAAGTTGTATGTACAAAGAAATCATAGAGACCAATAATAATGTTTCATTTTAGTCATGTGACGCGATTAAATTATACCGTAGGCCCCTACTACAACAACAAATTATTCCTGGTAAAAAACTGTCTTCCTTTATTCTGATCACACTTTATTCTGATTTAATAGGTAATCAAATTACTTCCACAGTAACCATTAAAATTTAATTTGCTATTCACTATTTAATATCACTATTTTCAGAGAAATGTTCCATTTACCAGAAACAAATATCCTGTAAGTTTACTCCCATAAATTACCCTTTCCCTCTGGCAAATTACTCTTTTCTCTCTATATTTTGCCCACCTTGTAAATCTCTTATTCCCGTGTCCCCAAGTGTGTTTAAGAGTTTTACTTATTTGTTTTAAATATTGATCAAATGAAGTCTCTGCATGGCAAAAATCATTTAAGAAAGTTAAATACAGATGACATTTTAAAGGTGATTTTTGAACGTTTAATGTGATGTGGGACTTGTGTAGGCCTATTACTACCCAAATCAATTGAAATAGGAGGCTATTGATAATTGCTTTGTAAAAAATCTGAAGTGGTGTTTTGCTACAGTTTTCATAACATGTGTGCTCTTGGAGTATATAGGGATTTTTTATCAACACTTGACATGTTCATAAACCTGTTGGTATATATGTGTTCCAGAATATACATGTCACGTGTATGTCCGAGGCGATAACCTGGCTGGGGTTCTTTTATCAGATCATGAATATCCTCACAGAGTTGCCCACACCTTGTTGACTAAAGTGTTGGACGACTTCGCGGCCAAGGTGCCATCTCACGAGTGGCCCACGGCTAACGAAGCTACCATCGCTTTCCCGCAACTGAACACGTACCTCTCTAAATACCAGAACCCCAGAGAAGCTGATGCTATGACCAAGATCCAAGACGAACTGGATGAGACTAAGATTATTTTAGTGAGTTCATAAACTTTTCTTAAAGTTTATTTCTAAGCACATTAGTTGGCTAGAGCTGGGGACAAACCAAATACAAGTGAAGACGGAGCAAGATCTGTGTGGCATTGTTACAGACTGAGATCAGCTGTTTTATTAGCAAGGATCATTTAGGTTATTTAGGCCGACCCCAATAATCAGGGAAAGCTGGGTCCAGTTTTGATCTATCTTAGCTACTGACTTTTCTCATCATGATCGATCCAGCAGTTTTTTTATTGTTAGGCGAGCATGAACACTCAGCTATCCAGGCAGTGGTTATGTAATGAAACTAATGTTCTATGAAACTAATGTGAAACCAAAGTCTTTTTATTTATTATGAGAGTATTTTTTATTTGAAAATTATTGTGCATGACAGTTAAATAACTTGTCAAAAAAATCGTCATATAAATATAATAATAGACCATTGTTTGCACTGTTTTTATTGGACAAGTGGAGTGTGAAATTCCATACTCCAAGGACATGAAAATGCACCACTTCAAACTGATACACATTGAAAAAAGTAGTCTTGTTTGACTTGTGGGGAAAACCAGTGATGGTAAAAAGCAACAATATAAAATCAATATTTAAAAGATTCAATAACAGTCGATATTCATTATTATTTTGATTGTAAATTAGTTATATTTTTTACAGCATAATACAATAGAGGCAGTTCTGGAGAGGGGGGAAAAACTTGATGATTTGGTTTCCAAATCGGAAGGACTGAGTATGCAGTCGAAGGCGTTCTACAAGACTGCTCGAAAAACCAACTCCTGCTGCAGCTATGTAGGTTAAATAATTACAATATGGTATTTAACATTGTTGTAATAAACCATTTTTGCAAATATTGTTTATATTACATTTTTAAGGATGTATATTTTTATATTTTATCCGATAGTAAAATATATATTTACAGATTTTTAATTTTTTTTATAGGTTTTAAAGAAATATCTCAAGACGTTTTATATAAATACTAAAACTTAGGTCTATAAATGAAAGTATTTGTTTACTTTTAAATTTGCATGAAAACTCCTTATAAAGGAACTATAAATTGATATTTCGCCATTCTACACAGTAAACAGTTCTGGTTTTTTAGACAAGACAGTTGTTTACAGAAAGGAATGGGTAAAATCAGCTGGAGGGCTGTAAATTTACCGAGCACATTTACAGGGCAATTGTTCAAAAAGGAATTGTATTGGTTTCTTCAGAATGCTCTCAATGAAGCTATACAATAAATACTAATCAGGTTTGGAAGGGCACATTGAACTTCCATAGTAAATATTGTAAAATGTTACCTTTTTAAAAAATTAAAAAAATAAATTGAAAATTTTTTGTATTAGGTTTACTATCAATTGAGATAGGGACACCACCTGTGTATCTTAACCCAAATATAAGTGAAGGATGAGTGTAGAATGGAGTGTCAATCCTTGTGTAGCTTTGTTACTGACAAAGATCAGCTGTATTATTAGTCAGGATCATTTTTTAAAGCCAGATCAGGGACAGCTGGTTCCAGTTTCAATCCATCAAAAAGCTACTGACTTTTCTCAGGATCGATCCAGTAACCTTGTACTGATGGTATTTGTTGTGTTTGACCCTGTTGCTGGTGCTGTAGCGAAAAGTATCATATACGTCTCATCCAGAAATTCCTGTAGGCTATATTAACAATTATTGGCCATCCTCAATAAGATAAAAATTTAAATACTTCACAAAAGTTAAATTGTATACTAATGAGAGCAGGAATTTCTTAACTTATAATTATCATCCATACAAATTAAGTAGGTAGCAGAATGGAAAGTTATTATGTCCTACATACATTATGTTGTAAACATGTACTAGTTTGTTGAGCTTTGCCTTTCAGCTCAATTTTGTGTGGAAAAAATGTCAAAACTTTGATTAGGCCTATGATGTTAAGATGTTCATATTTAACAAAATTGGAACAAAACCTTTTTTTGTTATAAAAGCTGTTTTGTAAGCTAGTAAATTTTAATAATTTGCTATTATAATTGAATACATTATAGCTAGTTTATTTGTGTACTTATGTTTATATCCATTTTATGCACAGTAAAGTTTATTCATCGTGTTACGTTACATTCCTTATTGCAATACTCGATCTATTGTCTTCTGTTATATTTCTTGTTTTAAATGGGTTTTAAAGGGAAATGTTACTAAATGGTGTGTAAGCGTAACTGTTATCTTTAATGCCTGGTTTTTATTGTTAATAGGTGAAATAAATCGTTACCATTCCACGCTCTCTTAAAAATACTGTATAATTATTTTTGTTAAAACTCAAGCCCACATTTTTTCATATTATGTAACAGTTGGTTGTGTGATCATCAAACGAATTGTTAAAATAAGTTTTAGTCACGATTTACAAACATCGTTTTGGGTTTCTAGCATTAAAATGTGTCTTTATAATCGGGGAGAATCTCCACCGGAATTTAATTTGTAAAGACAAAATATACAACCTTTTCTATCTATTAAAGTTTCATTTATTAGGTTCACTTGTACTTGTACTAGCTTATTAATTTATTTTGCACACCTGCTTTTGGTGTCTTTGAACTTTTAAAAACTGTGTCAAATAATAGTAAAAAAACACAATCGAATTTAGATCCTGAAGTTTTATCTGTACTCAAAAATATCAATTGAATCAATGTGTCATAGATTGAAGTGTCAATGAATGAGATGTATGATTAAAAAAGTTTAAACCCTCGAATCAATGTCGGTGTACGAATAAGATGCAACACTTCTAATATCATACACAGGATAACTGACTCATTGGAATATCGGACTCTTTTTGGCAATGAGTCATTATCTCCGATTTATTATTTGAAATATCACCAATCCAATCAATCTTTTAAGTTATGATAAATATTGCATTTGTCTTACACCAAATGAGTTTATTACATACCTTAACCTGTTTTTTTGCTCCTGTCAAAAATTATTATGTTCTCCTTTTAATTTTTTCATATTCTAACCGAACAAGTTCTTTTGTTTGATATGAGGGGCTGGACACAATTTTTATAAAAGCATATGTAAGAAAAATTAAATCATAATTTATCTTTAAGTTATGTTAATTTTAATAACTATTAACAGATTATTATTAAAATATCCTTAAATGATAACTGTTATGTGTTTTTGCCATGTGTATAGTGTAATTTTATGTACGGCCTATCAAAGTTGTATGATGGTGTATAGTTTTTTAGTTTAATTGTTAGGTTTTGGATTTTATTGAACATTTTTGAAGCGATAAAAACACTTTTTTTACATGCTTAACCTGTTGGCAGAAACCTTTTTTTGTGTGTACAGTATTGGGATATGTATTAGTATATTTAATCATTAGGGCGTAAAGTGACTCCTTTTTGACCCGAGCACTCCCAGCTTTTTTTTTCAATTTTGCTCATGCAAATTAGCAGCTGTTTAGTAATTGATTCATCATTCTGTCTCTTACGATTGTGTTCCTGCACATTATACTGTACCATCGATATGTCCAAACTATTGACAAGAATGTAACAATAAGCCACAACCGATTAAACCAATCGATAAATAATTTTGATACATGTGATTGCCTACAATCAAAGTTTACAACTGTTTTTTTTACAACAGCTGACTTTGACTCGCTAGGAACTAAAAATGCTTTTTAGTCTTTCTACTTGATCCGAAACACATGTATTAAAAACAGCTGTGTTTGCTGCAGTATGAAAAAAAAATCTTAAGATTGAATTATTATTCTGTAAAATGAAATAGATTTATCTCTCAATAATAGCAGGTTTAAACAATTTTCATTTAAGTTCTTTTTTTAAATTCAGGTTTAAATGTGTTGAGCTGAGTGGTAAAACATTATGTTCCTTGGACAAGATATTTTAAAAGAAAACATATTTTACAAATACATTAGTTTTATATGGGTCCGTCTTCCTGATCTGAGTGTGGAATGTTGTAGACGTTGTCAGAATGTCGTCTTGAAGGTGTAACTGTAAAATTCCTGTTAATGAAACTGTGAGCTTGTTCAAGTGTAACTTAAAGGACATAGGTTTGTTTTGCCATCCATGTAATGGTTATATTATCCGTGTGTGTTCACTGTTGTCGAAAAGTTGAGCTATTAAAGCAGTGTTCTTTATAGATTTTTCCCTTTATTTTCACCTGAGATTTCTTTCTTGTCTGTTAACACATTTTCCTTTTGTGTAAGATTAAATTGTAAAAGCATTTAGCCTACTACAATTGAATATATTATGCAATATGGTTATTGGTTGTGATTCGATAATTCAGTAATCTGGAATATTAATCTTTTGGTTCATAGCAATTTTCATGTCTGCATTGCTCAGTCCAGTTTTTGCTTTGCAGTGTTTGTAAAAGGTTGAGTCAAGATCAGACGTACACACTTGAGCGAGCATTGTGATTTTCGAGCCAAGCTAAGTCCAGCCTAAAAGAACTACTAAGGATAAAAAACCAAGTCTGAAAATAATAGAGTGAAGCCGAGATTTTAAACCCGCAATATTATTGAAATGAAATGGAATACTTCTTCGTCCTACTAAACATCTCACAAATCCCGTGATACCTGGTGTATTATAGGAATGAGTATCGATAGTCTAGGTTCGATGTTTTTCACATCTATGGTAGGGTAGAGTACAGATGATTTTGGCCGAAAGTATTGAAGTGTCGATGTTTTCCATGACTGCATTGTATTAGTTTTAGTTTAATTAGCTGTTTCAGTACAGAGAGTAGATGAAACTCGGAAAAAACATCAATGTTTTAGCCACAAAAACGACGATGTTATCGGTACATCGATGTTGACCTATTGATGCTCATCCCCAGTGTAGGTGATATTGTCATATCGTACACTACGCTTATTGTGATTTACACTATCGCAGTTCTGCAGTTTAAAATTTACGATATTGCAAGACATGCTCACAGGTTTGCCTTAGACAATCGCCGGTGTCGCCGAGACCGCAATTTATGCTCCGTATATTCAACCTTTTGGCCGTTTCTTTCTAGGTCAGATAGTTTTACTGTATTCAAAAGCTAATTTTATTATTAACAACCCTCCCAATATTCACTTGAAAATTGATTTGAATATATTTATGTGTTGTCCCAAATAAATGTTTTGACCACCAACCAGTCAGTAAGTTTTGTTGATAGGCAATATTTTTGAAATGATCAGGAAATGTATCATTCTGGTCCAATATATTGAGGTAATGCTTCGTGTTAATCTATTGTTATACTCCGTTCTCAAAGTTTAAGCGGTTTTATGGGAATTAATATACCCCCTCCACTTGATCCTGCTTTTAAAACCTGAGCTCAACAGCTCAGGTTTGCTAAAACGCCAATCAGCTGCAAGATATACATTAAGCAACAAAAGTAATGGGGAAATTCCCCTCAAACAGCCTAAATTTTGTGAACGGACTCTAGTAGGCTTTTAAAACAAGTGTTTATGGTTTGTGTAACCCTTCCTGAACATTAACAAGTTGTTAAATACCTCAAAATACTGGACAAATTTTACATAGACTTCTTTGGTTTGCTTTGGCACATTCTACCTGCCTTCTTTTGAAACTTCATTTTACCAGGCTACTACATAAATTTCCCCAAACAAGAATTCCATTTGACATCAAAGATGAAAAATATTAACTGTTTAGTGTCTGTGACTTATGAAATTGTTATGGGAGAAAGAAATTGCTGAAGAAAGGTTTTATGAATACATAGGTTTGTTGCTACAAGGGAGATAATAGTGTTTTATTGGTATGTTCATAGCTTTAGTATGGAAAATCTAAATCTGCCAAATTATATCAAAATATCCATGAACGAAATACAGAAGTTAGATATATTTTCCATAAAAATAACTTGAACATTCTACATAATTTACAGTTTTTTGGAATGTTTTCTGTAACCAACAGCAACATTTGCAAAAATTGAATTTTTTAAAATAAAATCTACAGAATGGTTTGGAAAGTAAATTGCAAAGTTCTATGTTATGAGGGTAAAAAATGGGAAAACAAATTTTTACACCATAAAATACTGTTCCCACAATCAGATCAGGCTGACTTATAGGATATTTATAGGCATGCACTGTGGATGCGATATTCCCTGGTGTGGATTAATGTCAGCACTAATGAGTACGACCATCCGCAGTACTATCTGATTATTAGACCAATTTGTTAATTACAAGGCAAAAATGTGGTTCGGATTCCACTATAAGCTGTAGGTCCCTTAGGTGCCATTGGCTGTATTAGGTGTTTTTGGCCTCTGGGAACATGAAAACAAATAAAAATTAGTCTATTTACCACGAGACTTACAGCCATTTCTTATGTAGGAAATTTGCTGAAATTAATCACTTTAATGTTCTTTGTAAGATTTTTTTTGCATTTCTACGTACAGTAAATATGATTAACCAACGTAAAAAGGGAAAACCATTTTGGATAGTACAAGGTTAGCATTTAGACTTTTTTGTTTGAAAGAGGTCAACAACAATAGTCTTGTACTTTTATTTCAATTACTGTGGGCTCAAAATATACAACTAACTGTACAGGAAATCTATTTCTTAATAATCAATAACTGTTTACCATCACGGTATGAGGTACGCGTTGTCATCTACTCCATTACATACCCTCGACCAACTACTCATGCCTTGGCGGATGATTCCTTTTGCCTGGATAATTTTCCCAATTGACTTCAATTTTATCTTGATTTTATTTTGTCTTGATTATCCCGGGTTTCAGTTTAATGGGATGAGGTTAAAAGAGGTTGTAGCCTACATTTATATTTTTGTTAGGAATGGACCTAAATGTGACCATCATTTAGTTACCTTCTTGGATAAGATCAATTAGCAACTGCAATTTACAGGTTACAGATGAGTCGGTGGCTCAGTTGGTAGCGTCACAGATTTCGGGCCCAAGACAGCAATGTCGTGGGTTCAGACCCTGGTCACTGCCACAAACATATTAGTACAGTTCACCTTCGTACTGTACCGGCTCACCCCTTGCTTTGCTGGATACGTTCCACGCACAGATCTGTAGTCTATGTGGACGGGGAAATGCAAGGCTAAAAGAGGCGGCCAACCTCTTTAAAAAAAATTTCCTGGATAAGCACCACAATCCAGCATACTAAGTACTAAGTAGGTTGGCTGACACAGGGATATTCAAGTAAAATTCTCATCTGCAATAAACTCAAATAAGCAAATACCCCCGCCACAGCAAACCTGTAGACTAAGCGAATTTCCATTTGCCTGATTGGATTTACACTAAAATGTCACATTTATTCCTTATTTAAATAACATTAGTAATGAATGCTTTTTCCAAATTTGATCAAAATATGTTCATAAACAAGCAAACTACAATAGTTTACTTATTCTTCATCAGAATAACATGGGAATTTTAAATTGACTGATTTTTTGAATTTTCTCCGTAACCATTAGGCGCATAATAACGCTTCAACATACTGAATTATTTATTTTTTTAAGCTCTACAAAATGGGTTTGAAAAGAAATTGCTAAATTTCAAGTTTTTAGGGACAAAATTGGGAAAAACTAATTTTTACCCCATAAATCCCCCCATAAACCCCTGTTCCCATAGTCCAATCATGCTGGTTTGCGAACTCGTTCGAATAAACGTAGGTTAACTCGTTTTTTTTTTTTTTTTTTTAATAAAAGAGGTTGGCGGCCTCTTTTAACCTTGCATTTGCCCGTCCACATAGACTACTGATCTGTGCGTGGAACGTATCCAGCAAAGCAAGGGGTGAGCCGGTACAGTACAAAGGTGAACTGTACTGATAAAAGTTTGTGGCAGTGACCAGGATCCGAACCCACGACACTTCTGCCTTGGGCCCAAAGTCCGTGACGCTACCAACTGAGCCACCGACTCACCTAAGCATCTAGTTTGTACCAAATTTCATCAAAATCGGATGATTTTTGCTTGAGTTATCGCGCTAACGGGCACATATATAAATATATATATAAATATGAAAAATATAATAATAGGGCTATTATACAGGGTGTCCCGGAACTCTCTACCAATATTTTAGGGCATTGCTCCTGGGTAAGAAACATACCTAAATATCATATTTAAATTGTCCGGAAGTCCTTAGTTACTTACACAGCCGCCATTTTGTTTTTTCAGTTATTAATTGTTTTCTAAAGAATGGTTAAACATATGAAATTGAAACTTTGCACAAACATTTATGACAACTAGAAAAAGCTACAAAAAAATTATGACGATTTTTCAAATTCATAAAACAAAATGGCGGCCATTTACAATTGTTATAAAATCAACGTTTTTTGAGTTATTTAAGAAACAAAATTTTAAATGGCCGCCATTTTGTTTTATGAATATGAAAAATATGAAAAATCGTCATAATTTTTTTGTAGCTTTGTCTAGTTGTCATAAATGTTTGTGCAAAGTTTCAATTTCATATTTTTAACCATTCTTTAGAAAAAATTAATAACTGAAAAAAACAAAATGGCGGCTGTGTGAGTAACTAAGGACTTCCGGACAATTTAAATATGATATTTAGGTATGTTTCTTACCCAGGAGCAATGCCATAAAATATTGGTAGAGAGTTCCAGGACACCCTGTATATAAATAAAGATTAAACGTTAATAGACTTAGTAACCAAGTAAAATTATTTGTTAAAATATTTTCTGACTATAGCTTCGGCTCTAAGGCGATTTTCAAAGTGGCCAACGTAAATCTTTGAAAATGGCCTTAGAGCCGAAACTATGGTCAGTAAATATTTTAATAAATAATTTTTACTCGAGTACTATGTTTATTAATGTTTAATCTTTATTTATACATATAAATATATGAATTTGAACATATGGTGTTTTTGGCTTCTAGGGACCTCAAAACAAAAAAGTAAATCGGTCCCGGGTCGAGGTCTTACCATGAGTACTACGGTAATAATAGCTTATTCCCTAAATGGGAAATTCGCTAAAAGCAGTCATGTAATGGGAATAAGGTAAATTAAAAAAAAATATCCCTATTAAATGAACTGATGCAAATATATTTATTAGGTCTAGATATTTTACAACAAATACAAATGTGAAAATAAAATCATTAAATGATATCTATGAATAATGCTTTACATGTTAATTAGGATGTGTTTTAAACTCACTTTTGACCGTGCTAGAAACC